AGTGTGGCTTTTCTAGGCATGTGTGCGCTGTCATGGTTGGCCCTGGTGGCCGAGTCCTCTGGAAAGTGTCTCTGTGGAAACATACCTTGCCACTGCGGCATGTGGCTCTGTTCACATTTTACAGTGGCTGCATTGTCACAAGAAGGTGGTGGTGGCGCTTTCTGTGTGCGTCTGGCATAGCGAAGAGTCTGGAGAGTCTGAAGAGTCCTGAGCATATGTTTGACTTTCTTATATGCTTTCTGGATGTTTTCGGTGTGGTCTTCAATTTGACTTCAAATATTTTTTCATTTATCTTAATTCTTAAAATCTATTTCCAAACAATATAGAAGCCTTTTTCCCCCCTTGTATTTTCATGTTGAGGATTTTACCCTTCTGGTCATATCCAGCTATTTTGGAAACGTTAATGGAAAATTTATGTGAAAACCATCACAAACTTGGCAGATTTGTGAAGGAGTTGTGATACAGAGCTGGACAGACAAACAAGCTTGGCATCTTTAGGTCAAACTGAGTGCATAGTTCTCATTCCAGCCCGAGTATTCATCTCACCTTCTTTGGTCCAGATGGAGACTGCTCATCCTGCAGAGCCGGGGTTGGTGCAGAGCCGGGGGTCGGGGAGAGCCGGGTCGGCGCAAAGCCTGGGTTGGCGCAGAGCTGGGGTCGGTGCAGAGCCAGGGTCAGGTAGAGCCGGGGTAAGCGCAGAGCCGGGGTCAGGGAGAGTTGGGGTAAGCGCAGAGCTGGGGTCAGGGAGAGCCTGGGTCAGGGAGAGCCGGAATCGGCGCAGAGCCAGCGCCAGCAGCCCAGCTCTCTCTCCCAGGCATCCTCTCTTTCCTTGGAGATGTTTGCCTCTTTTGATTGTCCTTGTCCGGATCCATCCCGTCCACAGGCCTCCACCTTGCAGACAGTCAGATCAGCTGAAGCCCCCTCTTGGTGGATGAAGCTCCCCAGACTGCTGGGGCTGTGCAGCCACACTCCTTCAGTTTTCTCATCTGCCCCATTGTGCATTCCTCTCTTGGTTGTACGCATGGCTGGGCTGGACGTTCGAGGTCACTTCCACGGGGAGTGCTGTACAGCTCTTGAGCTCATCTTATCCTGGCATGAACTCCCCTGGTCTTGTGACATTAGTCACTCTCCACACAGATGGCCAGCCTGCCTCTCATAAGTCCTTGCCATAATGAGCTGACCTAAAGTGGCATGCATGCTCAGGGCCTCCGTGAGGGCCAGCCAGCCAGTGGAGAAGGGAAACATGGCAGGGAAGTAAGTCCCGAGTGGGATTAGATGAGGTCTGAGTTCAGATATGGCTCAGCATGGACTGCGTTTAGTGGCTGGAGCCACAAGTTCAGGATAGCAGCGGTTGGGTCTGTCAGTTTGTTGGCACTCAGCTTGGCCTGAGGAGGCTGGACTGGCCTGGTTCAGATGGGGTCTGACTTTCATCTGTGAGGAATAAAACCAAAACTAAGGTCACTTCACGCTTCCCACTGCTGTGTTCCTGCTGACAAGTCTCCTGCCTTGCCCTGGCACTCTTCTGGGCAAAGCAGGAAGAGAAGCAGTTCTTCTTCTTCCTCTCCTCCAGCCTGGGGTTTTGCCTCTGCTAGGCTCTGCCACTTGAGCTTACAGCTCTGCTCTTTTGTATTATTTTTGCCCTGATACTTTTTGAACTACATTTTTTTTTTTTTGCCCCTGCCAGCCTGGCTTCTGACCCCATTTGTGCTTCTCAAGCTGTCCCCGAACCATGATTGTTCTAGTCTCCACCTCCTGAGAAGCTGCTGTAGAGCGCAAACTAGTCTAGGTTATAGGAGTGGATTTTTGCTATTTTGGGGCCCTGGGGATTGCACCCAGGACCTCATGCTGTGAGTCAGGTTGCCACTTGAGCTATGCCACTTTTCATTCCACTTTGCGTTGTTTGTGAGGTAACGTGGCCAGCTTTGCCTGGACTGTCCTTGCACTCAGTGTGTCCTCTGCCTCCTCCAGGTTAGCAAGGGTGACAGGCGTGCCCGCCACACTCAGCCCAGGGTGTGGAGAAGAAACGCCTTTTCTCCCTGGAAATTCCAAACTGAACCCTCTTTGTTCACTGTCAACACATTTCTAGACTATTTGTGGTATCACGTTTGTGAGGTGTATTGTGTGTTTGTTTCTTTGGTTTGGTTTTTAATAGATAAACTACTGAGGTAAGACTCAGCTCCTGTACTGGCTGCTAGCTTGTCACTGAGTGGTCTCTGGGTTTAAAGCCCTGCTGGTCACGGTTTTGCAGTGCCCAGGACATTGTGCTATTATTGGAAAGGACTATTAGTTGGGCAGTTTTATTTTCTAAAATTACAAGGTTAAATGACGATTACAACCCAGCCACCCAGGAGGCTGAGGAGGCTGAGACTTGGAGGATTGTGGTTTGGAGCAAGCCTGGGTAGAAAAGTCAGGAGATGCCACCTCCAAAGTAATCAGCAGAAAGCTGGACTAGAGATGCAGTTCAAGTAGTGGAGCACCAGTGGTAGAGAAGATTGAAGGATTGGGAAGTGTCCAAGAGCTCTTCTCCATATTGTGGCTCCCATTAGACTTAATGTGTGCTCCAAATGCTCCATGAGGATGCTTGTATAGCCAGTGCTTACTAAGGCCACAAGCAATAAAAGGTATTGAAGATGTCAGAGACTGTGTTTCCCATGGACTGGACATATATGGGAGCTCTGGGAATGGTCTGGGTGGGTGAGCAGAAGTAAAACAACCGAAAGACAGGCTGGGAAGGCTCAGCGCCCAGAGAAGGTGACCTCAGATGGAAGCCAGCCTCAAGCGGGAGACCTGGATTGGAAGCCTGGGGCCTCCAGTTTCCAGCAGGGACTCTGGCATAAATCATTTCATATTTGGTATTGATTGGCAGGTTGTTGGTAAGGAGCTTATACAGCAAAACTAATGACAAAATGGTGGTTAGAGTGTGTCCTGTGTGCCAAGACATGTGCTGATAAGTAGTGGGCTGATGATTTCCTGTGATTTGCAGCTGCCCAAGAAGAGGCGCGTGGTTACAATCATCCTTTAAGGCTTTTATTTATTTAGTTTTTTTTTTTTTTGTGCTAGTCCAGAGGCTTGGACTCAGAGTCTGGACCCTGTCCCAGAGCTTTGATGCTCTACCACTTGAGCCATAGCTCAACTTCCAGCTTTTTGGTGGTTAATTGGAGATAAGAGTCTTGGATACTTTTCTGTCTGGGCTGGCTTTGAACTGCCATCCTCAGAGCTCAGTTTCCTGATGACAGGTGTGAGCCTGCTCAGGTTGAATCCTCTCAGCCTGCACTGTAGTTCTTGTCTTTATGTTTCAAGACCTGGAATGGTCTGGAAGCCATTCTGTGACTTTAGCCTGTAAACTGTGCAGGTGCAGAGGCAAGCATGCTGCCATCTTGGATTAGAATAGAATCTCCACTGACGTTGAGCAGAAAGCAATGGCTCAACCTTCTGCATGGAGGAGTAGAAATCCCCGTGTGTCCATGTTCCTGGCCCTTGCCCTGCTGCAGGGTCTGCGTGGATTCCTGGGAGGACACTGGCTCCCTTCTGAAAACCTGGCCTTTGGTCAGGTGGCCCAGGCTGAGCTCAGTGTGAGCTCCACGGGCACTGGCTGTCCTGCTGACCCTTAGAGGAGGATGGGGGGTGGGAGGGCTGCCAGCCTGGAAGGCTTTAACTGCCGTGCCCTCAGACCCCCGCCTGCCTGCCGTGCTCCCAGACCCCCACCTGCCTGCCGTGCTCCCAGACCCCCACCTGCCTGCCATGCTCCCAGACCCCCACCTGCCATGCCCCCCAGACCCCCGCCTGCCATGCCCCCAGACCCCCGCCTGCTGTGCCCCCAGACGCTATGTCCCTGGCTCCTGTGGCAGTCAGAGGAATAAAGGCTTCCTGTTGAGCTGGGCACGGCCACAGGTAACAAAGGTTCCTTTGGTCTGGAGGTTCCCCTCCTGCTTTCAGTCCCTTGACCCCGTGTATTTTGACCCTTGGGTTTGATGTGTTATACTCTCGAAGTAAGACTTTAGACCACAAAGGGCCTTAACCATTATCTGCTACCGCCTCCCTCATTTTATAGAGGACATTGACTCGTAGGCAGGAAGTAACTGGGAAGCTTTGGGGCCAGGGCCAGACCAAGAGTGAGCTGCCTGCTGGTCTGCTCATCTCACAGTGACTGTCCTTGCACAGTGTGGCTTCCAGTCTCTCCTTCACCCGTCCCGGCCCAGCCTGCCTCCAGGGCTCCTTGATCTCCTATTGGAGGGAACTGTGGTTGGGTTTAGCCCAGCTCTGGAATTCCCATTGGTTCCTGGTAGCCCTGTACCATGCGTGGTCGTGGGCAGGTTCCGTGGGTCCCTTACTGAAGATGTGCTCTTGAGAAAACAACAGTCAGCATGACCTGTTTTATTATTTGTCAGTAGTAGAGACTTAGGGAAAATGAAGGCTACAAAGGAAACCTGGGAAATCCCACAATAGAGATTTCAGGTTGAACAAATCAGGGAAGACTGAAGGTTTTCCTCTAGATAGTTCCATAGTATGGTTAATAATGGCACTGTAGATGGTTCCGGAGTATAATCAATAAACAGGGCACTGCTTGTTTCTATGCAGAACACCTGCTGGGTCTAATTTTGCCCTGCAGGTGGTAGTGTAGAGTAATTGGAATTTGGAAAAAAAATACATTAGCTTAAGTTGCTTTAACAGGTCTGATTAGCAAAGAAGAATGTAGAGTTTTTTTTTCTTGCTGTGAAGTTTTGGCGTAATGGAAAACATGCTTTTAAATTGGATATAAGTGCATTAAGTTTGAGTTGTAAGAGTTGTTGTTACTATTATTTATCCTGTTTGAAGTGCAGCTTTCCCATGTAAATTGGGAAACACCGCGCTTCCAAGAGAGATGTATGAGGATGGAGTGAATCGATGTTGTAGGCCCCTGAACATAGTAGGCTCAATGCTGTAAGCCCCTCCATCTGCAGATAGTAGGCTCTTGGCCTGCACACACTCCCTAATGCTTTAACCCTTTCTGTTCTGTGTAGATCTCTGACATCCATGTGACGGGAGAGTCGGAGGACATGTCTGCAAAGGAGAGGCTGCTGCTTTGGACCCAGCAGGCCACTGAGGGCTATGCCGGGGTCCGGTGTGAAAACTTCACCACTTGCTGGAGAGATGGAAAACTATTCAATGCCATCATTCATAAATACAGGTACAGAATTAAAACTCCCTGCAATATAGAGGTAACAGGTCCATGACAGGAAATTAGAAAATCAAAAGCATCATGTTCCCACAATCAGAGGTTTTCTCTCTGAACTTTAGTGTGTGTGTGCGCGCACACACACACACACGATGTACTTGTACTGTGTCTTTGAGTCCTTCCAGTCACTTAGCAGACCTGCACACACACACACACACACACACGATGTACTTGTACTGTGTCTTTGAGTCCTTCCAGTCACTTAGCAGACCTGCGCGCGCGCGCACACACACACACACACACACACACA